GGGGGGGGGCAGGGGCCGCCCCCGCGCCCCCCCCCCCCCCCCATCCCCCCAAGTCCAGCCAGACAGGTGGTGCATGTGTGGCCCGCAGAGGGACGCCGTTGCCCTTGCCCCACCCCAGCCCTGAACCTGGGAGGTGGCGGCATGGGGTGGTGGATGGTGGTGACCCAAACAGGCCATTTAGAATGAGAAAGTATTCCATTTTCTGTCTTTATATAATACTAATGTAATTTGAAAACATTTCCTGTTTGAGATGCCCTGCTTTTGTGTTGAATAAATACTTTGGGTTTTGGTCCTGGAGTTAAAATAAAAAGGAAATACCATATCTGTTCAGAAATAAAAAAAGAAATTTACCTGATGTGCTGTTTAGCCAATATATTATATAATTAGCATCTTATTTGTATAAAACGCTATACCTGTAGTTGTCATAGTTATTAGAAGTGTTTAAATCTGACTCTTGATTATTATCTCAATATATATTATAACGTATGATATATCAATACAGTATATCATATATGATAATATATAAAATCCTTGCCCCCCTGTAGGATATGGAAAAAAAGGGTAAAATATATTCAGAAAAGCTATTCTTATATGTAAATGCAAAATTGTATTTTAAAACTTAAAAATTTAATGAGTATATTTAAAACTTAAGCTGTCATTTCTGGTTTCAACTTTTCAGTAAACACAATTTTTTTACTTCAACTACAGGAACAAATAATTCCATGCTTACTACGTTTGAGACAGGCACATGATGAAAATCTTCAGGCTTCTGTTAGGGAGGCTTTGGCTATAATTGGATATACCAACCCTGTGAAGGGCCGGGGAATTCGAGTCCTTGCTATCGATGGAGGAGGAACAAGGTAGGACTGAAGCTTTTAAATACCAATAGATTTCTGTAAACTCCAAATTTAGATAACATTGAAGTCAGTGGCCCATAAACCTAGGCTTTCATTCTGAAACTATTTACAGTTCCATGATAAAGGAAACTTTAGTTTTGAACCAGGACTCCAGTAACATATGCTTAATCTTGTATGTATGACTAGTCCCTTTTTTTCTGTGGAATAGGTTTATGCAGGTGAGTAAACCAAGTATAGAAGTGTTTTCTGAATTGGGCTATTTTTTTGAAGGCAAGGAGGGGTTCGGTTAGATCTTGTTAATGCTTCCGTCTGGGTTTACTCATGATACCTCTGAGGCTGATGTGGGACTCTGCCTCCGCGACATCTCTTCCACTCACCAACCACTGTTGTTGGTGACTTAGGATCCTGCCTGCCACCATGAACTCCAGGCTTTTATCTAAATCCACTTGTCACACTCGCCCCATCTCTTTGTCTTCCGGTTGCCTCCTGGGATGAAACTAAAAGGCTCTCTTGGCCTCTTCCCTCCACTACATCTTCTCCCCCTTTTTACTACCCTTCCTTTGAAGCAGGATACAGTAATAAACCAGAAGAAAATAAATAACTCTTTCTACTATGACTCCCCCTTTCTTTATTGCAGGGGGTCCATTATCTCTCTTCCCTGACTTCAAAGAGCAGAGCCCTAAAGCGCACCCTGCTTTATTCTAATCAGACTTCAGCCAGGGTCCTTTTGTCCTCCGGCAGTGCTCCTGCTGGCACCTTGTCCCTACAGCTGGGCTCTAGCCTCCCAGAGCAGGCATTTCTCTCATCCTCCTCTCTGACACCCTCAGTGCCTTGTAAATTCCTTGTGGCAGCACACTGGACTGACATCATCAGCCGTGCACTGCCTACCCAGACGGAGAGGGAGCTTAAAAAGTGGTGCAGTTGTGCCGTGCATTGCACTGGTCTGGGCTCCTTCCCCAGTAAGTTTGGGTGTATCTTCTCTGACTCTGGTCTCTTCTGGACCAGGTCTGAACAGGGGGTATAGAGACAGGGTTCATGTGGGGTACCCAGGCCACCACATTCTGATAGTTAGATTTGGCCGTAGTAAAAAAGTATTTTGATTTTGTTTGTTTGTTTGTTTGTTTGTTTGTTTTTCTTTATCTTAACCGACTGCATTGAGTGTTATGCCCTTAAGTTGGCTAAGTGACTGGGGAAAACTCACAAAATCCAATCACTAAGGTCCAAAACTCCTGGAAAAATTCTAGATTAATTTTCCTGTGGTACTAAGCTCCTAATAATACACAGGAGTTCTTGCATATTCTGGAAAAGAATAGAGCACAAAATAATTATCCTACACTTTCCAAGAAGTAGGAACTTTACCATTGCTGGTTTTCTGCCTTAGTAACTCACCTAGACTTTTCTTCTAAGCAAGAATGAATTGACTGGTGGGGAAAACAGTGTTTTAAAGTGTCTTGATTTCTGTGTCCTTATCCACTTAAATCACTTACTTTTAGTTTTTTGGTTATTTTTGGTATCACATCTCCATAATTATGTTCAGGCTTGCAAACATTTATACATGCACTTCATTTTTATGTCCATCAGCAGTCCTTTTGAACTCAAAGAATCTAGTATTCTATAAAAGTTAAATATGCAAAACTATCTGCAGGTTTGAATCATAAATTTTTCAAAAAATACTTTTTTCATGAATTTACTGATTGAAAATACTATACTTGCCATTCACAATATGCAGTTTCCTGAGCTTATAGTTATTTGTAAATAGTATTTGATGCATATTAGCAGTACTTCTTTTCAGTTAGGGTTAAGTCTGTGACAAGTTTTAAGTACAAAAACTATTTAGTTACCCGAGTACAAACATTTTTTTCCTCTTTTCTTTCCTTTTTTTTTTTTTTAAGGAGATATCTTTTTTCTCTCCATTGGCATAGTTCCATAGTAAGTGTTGTTAATATACTCCAGGATAAATTATTTTTGAGCTTATAAAATAGGCCAGTAGCCCCCAAATGAAAAGTTTTCAGAAAGTTGAGCAAGTGAAAATGTAATACAATGCCTGTTTTCGTCCCTACCTTTATTCTCAGATCTAGATCTGGACTATACAAACAAACTTATGCCTAATCCTGTACAGTCCTTTCTAGTATAAGTAAGAGTTGTGAAATGAATTACACTTGTCTGAACTAAAACTTAATTATGAGTACAGAGATGTAATTATCAGTGTTGGTCTCAAGTCAGGCAGAAGGCAGCACAGTGTAGCACCTTCAAAACTAACTTGTTCAGACAGGCATAAGCCTTTGTCTGTAAGATGAGTGCAGACTTTTGGAAACTTGTCAGTGAGATGAGTGGTGGCAGCGTTAATTGCTGTGGGTTCTTGGGCTTTGATCAATGGGGTGGATCCAGCTTCACGGAGAGCCCTGAAGTTCGGATCCAGAGCACAGAGCTGTTATCTGGCCTGCAGGCTCAGAAGTTTGGCGGCAGGTGCAGCCACAGCAGTTAATACTGCCACTTGCAAATTTCGAAGTTCACGGGCAGTCCTGTGGACCAGATGATACGGCCCCAGACTATAGATCTGGACCTTAGAGTTGATGAGTTTGACGCCCCTGAATTGATGCACTGGGGAGCAATGTTTATAAAAGCTATTCCAGGTGATGTGGTAAGAATCCAGTCTCATTGAGACCATAGGTAGCTATGAGTAGAGTTGTTCCGGCAGAAGAATCAGGTTGTCTGCAGCTTGGGTTTCTCAAGCTCAGCTGAAAGTGATGTTTATTTCACACTCCATTATGAATGTGAATACAACATGCTGTGAACAAAATACACTAGTTTTGTGGTCAGTGTTCAAGGGAAATAGCAGGTGTAAAGTTGTTTTTGCCAGTTTAACTTCCTGCCGTCTGGGATTCTACCTCTGATTACGTATAAACTATGGAGCTGCTTTCATAGATTAACTTCTTTTGGTTGCTATTATCATGTCTAGTTTTGAAGCTATGAAGTGTAAAAGTGAATGACATTAGGTTTTGTTTTCCATTTACTGGGGCAGCCAGGTATATCCAAATAGCATAGCATTTTAGTTCTTGTACTTAATGTTAGGTTTCTGGGCTTGCTCCACAGTAAATGTCTTGTGTAGATGTGTCCAGGGATACTCAATATATACTTCCTCTCTTGCTTTTATCCTGGTATTGCTAGTTACGAGTGTTATTTTAACATAGGAGTAGCCATGCTGCAGCACTGGTTCTACAAGTGGCATAGGCAGCCTCTGCATGACACAGCTGATTGGGGAGGGAGCAGGCAGCTCAATGGCAGATCAGGCAGGGAGCAGAAAGAAGAGCATCAGATCAGGCAGGGGAAAGAGATTGGAGTGACACTTGAGAAGGGCATGGGGCTAATTCATGGCGCACGTTGTACCTAAAAGGTTGCCCCCACCCCCCCCCAGGTTAAAATGCCTCTTACTCTTTGAAATACCTGTATATTCTGTCTCCTTTCGTAGATATTGCTTAGCCCAACATTATTTATTTTGTTCACATGATTCTTTGTGTGTGTTTTGCAATTCCGTTTCAGGGGTATAGTGGCACTTCAGACTCTGCGCAAGTTAGTAGAACTTACTGGAAAGCCTGTCCATCATCTTTTTGACTACATTTGTGGTGTAAGCACAGGTAAGTAGTATTCTGTAGGGTGGATTTTTGTGATAAACTTCTGTGCCCAGGGTTTCATTTTTATTAAATTTAAGTTTTTCTAAAATTTTCATATTGCCAAAGGACAAAAACCTTATTCTTGTTAAATGTG